ACATCTTTTGCAATATTCTTATTATCACTAGCCACTTTTTCCCACATAATATTAGCATTCTCATGCACAGACAAAATCTTAAGATCTAAAATCTTATAAGTTTTGAACCTTCGAATTTAAAGATATAAGAGAATTTATATGAATTTTATACTAATAACTGAATAAATTCTATGATTATATTTATATTATATTATTATTTTATAATGAAATATCTAAATTAGTCACTTAAAGATTTATTATAAAATCATTTCTTTTCATTTTGCTTAAGCCAGAGAAATAGAAATGAAAAATTTAAGAGATAATGATGGAAAGGGAAATAGAACTTAGGATTTGAAGGTTGTTGATCCATTTTTTGTGAGTTGGTCCTATTGGAAGATTTGCTCACTCATAATAATGAACCATTACAATATTTCTGATTTTAAGAATTTTGTGTGTTTTGTGTTTTATTTTTTTAATTTGATCAAAGCTTGCAAAAATTATGATTTCTTGATTTTAGGAACCTTTCACCGCATAACTTTTGATATGTGATATATGTCAACAATATGAGCATTCTGATTATAATACTATTGAATTTTTCTAGGTAAAATAGAAGTTATTAAATTTTATGTGATTTGAACTGAATAAATAATCATGTATTTTTATTTAAGCATAATGTTAATATATGCATTAAGAATGCAATTGGGTGTATGATTGGGTAATATATGGTCGCTATTACTGTTATAATAATGTGATAATAATATATATGAAGACAAGTAAAAATATAATTTTACGTATGTTTTGCTAGAGACTAAGTGACCTCTATATGATGGTGGACTGATAGACTTTCTTTTAAATATGTGGTTGGGTGATATCCTCTATTGATTCACGTGATACATTAATTGAGAGTTTTAATGTACTAAAAATATGACATAAATCAGGACTTCATTTGTTTTGTATGATTACTAAAATACATGTTACTAATTTATTGTTGCTATACAACCTTAAAATTATTGTATTGATTTACTATTACTATACAGATTCATTGTTTCTATATTATTTTACTATTACTTCCACCAATTTAACTAATGACATTGGACTATACTGTTACCGATACAGACACTGATAATATTTGATAGTACTGATTCACTTCACTTCTTTCAAATTAGATTATGGAACATCACAATCATTGTGCGCAATAACCTCATAGTGGCGTATCATCAAACAAATCTCCTGGCATGATATGGTGGGTAAGGAGGCGTTGTTGAGTTGTGATCATTTTTCACCACAAATTCATTCAAAATCTATCATTTACAATATGACAATAAGTTGTATTTGGGATATAATGTTATTCACTCAAAACGGCATGATTTTGATTTTTAAGAGATTTTTCAGGCATTTGTAAATCTGTTTATTGCCTCTAAGAGCACATTATCAGTTTTGCTTGCTATTTTCTTATTATGGGTAGTTAATGAAGCATGCTCTAGATACGAACGCATGCACTTGTATTCAGTTGTTTATGATTTTTTTTTAATATTTACTAAGATTTTTGCTAGCAACATCCGTTAGAAATTTTGTCGGATTTTTCAGCAGAATTTCGATAATTAAAATAAGCTAATTTCTGGTGAAAATTCGTTAGAAAAATTATTTGCGGATATAAATTCCAACGGAACTCAATTTCTAATGTGTATTTTAGCGACATAAATTATTCAGTTGGAAATCCGCTGGAAATTATAATTTCAGATGGATTTTTTTTTGTCAGAAATAACTCATTTTCTTATAGTGAGTCCCCATTGATTAATATTTTCTTTCAACATGAACATTATCATAATAAAACTTTTTGCATTATTTAAATTTTAGATTTAAGAATTTGATTTTTAGTAAGAACCCCTCTACTTATGATGCATATTGACCATGCCCATCATAACATGTATTTTTATGTTTGCACTTATTTATTTTGAACTTTGTTAACTTTATTCACTTGTCAAAAGAAGATTGAGTTTGTCACTTATGTATCATTTGATTTCATTCAAAAACTTGTTGCAATGATGCATATAACAAGTTTTGTCAACTCAAGGAGGAAGATTAAACTTAAGAAGTGAGGGGAGAAGAGAGAAAGTGAATGAAAGAGCAATAAAAGAGAAAGAGAGGGAGAGAAAAAGATATAGAGTGAGAGAGAGGAAGAGAGAAAGAGAGGTAGAGAGAAAAAGAGCTTTAAAGGGAGACATGAAGAGAAGAGTGAGAGGTTGTCAGACTCAACAGAGGTGATGGTTGAGGTAGTCGACAGTCATGATTTGTTGGTGGTTGACGTTCAACAAATAGAGGGACTATGATGTGGATGTGCGACCAAGGCAGGTTTGGCGTGTGGCTTTGGTGATAGGGCATGGTTAGAAGAGATGGTCTCGACTAGTTTGGACGTGGAGTTTGCTGGAGAGGAGAGGGCTCACGTTATCCTACGGATTAAGAGAGTGCACGTTAATTAGTTACAAGGAGTTGCGCAAATGAGAAGAGATTGAGAAGGATATGTTATAAATCTTTCTTACTACTTTTTAAAATAAATTTTGATATATATATAATCATTTTTGAAAGTAGTAAAAAAAGTTGTCCCAAATAAAATCTTACTCAGCAAAATGGACGAGCCATGCAGCATGAACGACACAGGAACCATGGGCCTATATAAACATAATGATAATAATAAAATTAATTTTTGTCTATTTGTTTATTCCCATGTTTCTCAAATTACATGCCATCATTGGCACGAAGGCAAATCTTGTATGTCACTTCCAAGAGGTAGATAAGCTACTCTGAGCCTCTTTTACAAATAATTTCAACATTACAGGCGCAGCGAAATAAAATGTTATGGAAATAGACAACAGTGGAGTCATTTCAATAAGAGTCGAGCCATCACAAACCCAATTTGTGCAATGTTGTGTTCATTGTCTATATTGTTCATCACATCCAATCGAATCAAACACAAGCACTGCAGAGGCGTCGACACAATCCATTTCGCAAACGGACGATGTTTGAGCACTTCAGTTATTATCAAAATATTTTCAAACCCAAATTGTGGGACGCCGCATCAATCATTCACTATTTTCGTTGCGCTCAAATAGAATGTGAGATGCATATATACAAAGACTTCGTTTGGTTATTCTGTACTTTTTCTAAAATATAGTTTTAAAACTGTTGTTTGAGAATGTTTGAGAGAACAAAATTTTCTAACGAAGAAGTTAATATCAAAAATCTTTTGAAAACAGTACAAAAATACAGTTCTCTAAAAAACATTTCTGCAGAAGCGACACATACAAACAACAGTAAAAAAAAAATTCTGCCATTTCGAAACTGAAAAGGCAAAATAATTTAATACCAAACATCATGGTTAAGAAGCCTACATGATCACCAAATGAACCAAGAAAATCATTATTGCTACAAGAAAAACAAACAAAATTCAAGAAAATAGTCATATTTATTCTACATCAAAACATTACTTAAGAACAGACATCATAGCTTAGTTCCGGACGGCAAAAGAAGAATTTTGAACTACCAAATACAATGCCATCTAGAGATAGAAGCCTACATAGATATACAAGTACAATTAGAAAGTAGGCCTCCAGCTGCTCAACATTCTTTCAAGAAAAAAAGCAGCTTATAAGTGCTTTTGGGCTGTAATATCGCTGCTGGTTGATGGAGAACCTTATTATTAAACATAGTAGATCATTCCCACTTCAATCAGGCTAATGTGAGGGATATTCAAGGCCACAGAAGGGCCCCTGCAGTTCTTACGGAGGAAAGAGTAGGCCACATCAATAACAAACTTCTTTATGAAGGATGAATTCTTCCTGGCCTTTATGTAAGAGTGGCCTAACACATAAGCAACTCCTGCCTCTTTGGCCTCCACCAGAGCGGCGAGTTCCTCTCGCATCTGCGGATCTACTTGCGGCGACTGAGGCAGTTCGAATCGAACCCGTTTTCTTCGAGTTAGATTTGGGGATTCATGCTCATACAATGACTGCAAACTTTGCAGAGTCTCCGACTTGCTGCTTCTCGCAGAAATCGATGCACCTGGAGCTTCATCGTCGGCGTCTCTCACGACTAAACCGGAACGCCTTTCCGAGGTTCGAATAACCGCCATTCTTCCCTCGGGCGACCCATCGCAGCTGATTGAGCTTCTTGATTCCTCGGCTTCCATCTGAATGAACTCCGCAATGCTCATAACTAAATGATCCTCGAAATTGTAATCATCCTTCTGCACATCTTTGTAGCCATATCTTACAATACATCTGTACATTCTGTAGGCTCTGGGACCAATCCGGCCAATCAGATATCGTTCATCAGGAGGAACATAAGGGACTGGAACTGACTTGACACAAACAAAGACCAGAACTTGATGAAAAGCAGGTAGGTTTGTGACAAAATGGGAAAAGATGGCAGGAACTCCAGTAACCAGTTCAGTATAGATAAGGCCAATTCCAGGGACACGAACTATGCCAAGACTAGGGCCAAGAGTGAGGATCCACTTCATTGAAACTTTGTTTTGCATGTCGAAAAGATACTTTCGCCGAGTTCCGTAGTGCCAAGCATACATGATAGCCATAAATACAGATGCAAGCACCAGAGGAGCCCATCCTCCCTGTGGGACTTTCATAATTGAAGATGAAAGGTATCCCCCTTCAATGATCCCAAAGAAAACTAGGAACAAAAGAGCAAAAAAGACATTCTTCTGCCAAACAAAGATGATAATCAACGCCATCAACCATGTCGTGACAAACATCACAGCTATGCATGCAATGCCTGTAAATCAGAATGTTTTGATAATTATTAATCAATGAAGCAGCAATATATAAGAATGATATATAAGAAACAAATTCTTTGAACAGGTCATTCGGATTTAAAACTTTATACATTTGGTAACAGAATAAGGTTTCGTTTGGAATGGTTTTCTTACTGCTTCTTCAAACAGCTTTCTAGTACAAAACTTAAATTTTTCTATTAGAAAGTTGCATTAAGAACAGTAAGAAATTCGTCCCAAACAAAGCTTAAGAAAGCTTACCATATGCATTTCCAATCAAGGTTGTATCGCGGAACCCAATGGTGACAGCAAGACAAAGCACCATAAGTATCCAGTTAATTTCAGGTATGTATATTTGGCCATAGATCCACCTAGATGTATGGACAACCTTAACACGAGGAAAACAGCCCAAAGCAAGGCATTGTTTCACAATCGAAAAAGTTGCTGAGATGACAGCTTGGCTAGCAACTACAGCAGCTAGAGTGGCCACCAAGAAAACCGGCCAAAACACAGCTTCTGCAGTAGAAAATAAAAAAATGTCAGAATTAGAAGTTTTTATTCTAAAAGAAATTTGTCTAATGAAAGTTGTTAATCTTGATCAGTCTTACGGGGGATGGAAGCATAGAAGCTTATGGAAACCGAGGAAACATTTTTAGAAAGATATGCTGCCTGTCCCATATATTGCAGTACCAAGCATGGATATATTACAGTGACAAACGCAACCTGCATATGTATTTTTTAAGGGAAAAGTTGAAAACCATATACACGAATGAATATTCTGGAATAAAATAATAGCGTTAAGAACATGAAACATGATAACGTTATACTAGATTTAAAAGGGTTTGATAAGAGGTTCTCTCTCTTGGTCTCAGGAATTGAGTCATTAACATACTTCCTGATTTTTCTTTCTGATTATATCAGCTTATCAGGAAAAATCTACAGTTTAAGACTACAGGTAGTCCCTACAAAAGATTTAACATAATAAATAGCTGTAAGAATACAGACATGGAGACAAGATACGTAATGACACTAATATGCCTGCGATATTGAATGGAGTTTGAGTTCCATTACTTGAGAAAATAGTGGATTAAGTAATGCATGTTTCAAGTGAAATGGATCTCTAAACCCTAATCTCTTATCGAATTACTCCTAAAGCACTTTTAATATTAATCAATGCCCCCATCATAAATATGTTTAATGGCTTCAACATACTTTTAACACAAATCATTTTTTGTTAATGTGCATCAAATTAATTCTCATAATACTTGAACATATATTTCTCAATATTAATAAAAATCATATAAAGATTCTTTCTCAGATTTCTACATTTTCCAATAATTGTCATAAAAAAAAAACTTTCACTATAGATCTCTCTAGCATGAATTAGCTTGATTCTCAAACCAACAGTTTTTTCAAGCTTATGATTAATTGCTCCCTTACATAGCTTCACTATAATTCATGTATGCATAACTATCATAATTTTAACTTCTATGTTCTTAAATAGTGGTACAAAATGCTTTCTCAATTCATTTGGAATCCCTTCATGTTTCAAATTTTCATTAAACTATTTGTTAACCAAATCACTGTAGTAGCTCATATAACTTTTCAAATCTTAACAAGAGATTTGATATGAACTTAAAAGCTTTATCATTAAGCATCTTCTTCAAAGCTGACTTTACTTCACATTTTTTAATTAACATATATACCTCTTTTTTTGTTCATTATGCTTACAAAATAATTTTTTTCTTAAAATCCCTATTTTATAATTCCTCAAAATAATATTTTCATCTTTTCTTGATGTATTAATTTTGAACTAAGATCCCATTACCAATGACTTTTAATGCATCCAACTACATCAAAGTCTCTAAACCTATTTAATTCACCATAGTTATTAAAAAAAGGTATAAAAAATAATTTAACACTTAGGTTATCCACAGCAGTTTTAAGAACAGAATAGAAATAAAAAAGGAATGAAAAATCAGACTACTTCAGGATTGATTGAAAAACAACTAAAAAAATGCATTTGTTGTTTCCTCGGTGGTTACCTTAAGGAGCAATCAAGGTATCAAAGAATCAAAATGACCGAAGACAGAAAATGAGAGATGAGGTTGTTCCATTTTAAATTTAAGAACCAATATCTGAATATCCTTTATGAATTATGTCAAAGGAGCAATCAAGGTTTACTTGACGCTCTCTACTTAGTAAAATTCTTACTTCCTTATAATAAAAAAAAAAAAAAACTTTTTCATCCATCATCCTTTGATTATTTAAGCTGCTCTGCCACTTCGGTGTACAAGTAGTTCTCTGTGCCAATTATCTAAAAAGTCTAGCAGAACCTATATTTGGATGCCCCGGTTTTGAATTTTATCAGAGGTGAGTTTGGAAGTTGTGAATGCATCCAGTTCGTACATGATGAGAAACCAGCAAAAAATGCAAGGAAATATTAAAAGGATTGTGAAGCTTGCTACTTTAAGAGTAATGTATTAAAGAACTTTCAATCGTTTAATTTTATCATAGGAAGCAGTTAAAAGATTAGAAGTTTCGAACAAGTTAAGATAATTCCGAAATTACCACAGTAACAACAAGTATGCCGTAATAAAAATCCCTAGCTTAATGTTTAGAAAGTTCATCAAGAGTTACCATTCACACTCACACTCAAGGTAAGGGTTAGCGGAGAAGAGGCTTTCAGCACACCCAACGATGCCACTCGGAAGGTCGCAACACCAATGGCCTTGATCCAAGAAAAGGTCGTCGGTGGTGGGGGAGGAGTGGACTTTTGGTGAGTCTCCACGATCCGGCGGGGATGTGTTCTTCACCGGAAGGCACGATCGTGAAGAGGATGTGGTCGATATATCCGTCGATAGTCTCATCAACGTCCAAATTCACCTCAAAGAACGGTGATCCAAGGAGATCCGTTCTTCCTTGATTATCATAGGGGACATCCATGGGTGCGGAGGGCTCCTCTCTTGGACCCCTTGGGCCGGCGGCTAGTTGAAGCAAGAAAGAGAAGAGGGAGGGCCGGCGGTAGGCTAGGGTGGGAGTGGGAGAAGGGCGGCTAGGGTGAGGAGTTGGGAGAGGTTTAATTTCGAAATCTGAAGTTATGTTCAGATTTTAATTAGATTAGGCTAGGAGAATTTCAAATTTTGAAATTTGAAACAAATAGGGGTTGGGAGGGAATTAGGGGAAGAGATGTAATTAATTGGATCCTTAATTGAATTCCAATTAATGGAATTGGAGAGAGAAAGGGTGGCCGACCCTATAGGGAGAGATTTGGGGAGATTTAATTACTTGGATTGTGGGCCCAAGTAATTAAATAAATAAAATGGGAAATCTGAAATTAATTTCAGATTTGAGAGGATTTAGGGGTTGCCTAATTCGGGTAGGAAATTTAGGGAAGAATTTAATCCAAATCAATTTGAATTTGAATTTTAAAATCACTCCAAATTTGGCTACCTAAATTAGGAAAGAAATCAATTCAATTAATGGGGAGTAAGGGAAGGTGGTGTGTGGCCGGCGGTATAGCGAGGAGGGGGAGGTGAGGCGGTGGAGCTAGGGTGGAGGCAAAGAGTGGTGGCGGGAGGGACTAAGGGGGGTCGGCGGGTTAGGATGGTGGTCGGGTGGGGAAGGGATTTGGGGAAAAGGGAGGGGGAGCGGCGGTGAGAGCAGGTGGCCGGCGGTATGGGGAAGAAAGGAGGGGTTCAAGGGGAAAAGGAGAGGGGAGCAAGGGTGGAGCCGCAAGCCTCGGACTATTCCAAAGACTGACGGGTATTGCAATCACCTCACCTAGGCCTTCATCTTCTCTCAAGCACTCAAGATTGCAGGAGACAAAGAAAATTTAGAATTTTCATTCATCAAAACATCCATAATACATAAGGAGTGGCCATATATATAGGTCTCAAAATGACAAAAGAAAAATAGACTAAAATGCCCCTTGGGCTACAATAGCAGCTAACTACCCATAGGGATAAAAACGGAAAAACTGAAATATAAAATAAATAATACATAAAATGCATCAAAAGTAAAGACTCTCCATCATGGCCATCGATCTCTAGTGTCTCCTCTGATAAACATGTCGGAACCTCTTGTTGATGTCCCCATCAGTACATCACTATATTGGTAATAGATAATATGATCAAGCTAATTTAAAAAAGAAATAGAATCATGAATTCTAAAATGCTTATACCTTAGACCTCCCTTAAACACTAAAAAACAATATTGTCAGATATAACCACAGTAAATCAAAGACTCTTAAACTAGTTCCCAAAACAGCACTCTAATTTTGAATCGAACATACTTCTTAGCATGGCCTCACGAACAAAATAAACATCATATGTAGTTTTGCAAACGCAAATCAAGCATTTAAGCTTAGGTTTACAGAAAGTGAAGAGGTGCTTTCAATTAGGATGAGGCCTGGAAGAAATATTTCATTGTAGGTGGTGAAGTACAAAACAAAGAATTGGTATTTTTATCTAGAGGATGAGGCGGTGTTGGACAGTTCCACTTATGGAGGAGAAGTACAAAACAATACAGGTTTTTGAGAGGGAGATATGAGGAACGTGATTCAAGAAAGCATATGTAGCTTTTCAATTTCAGTTTAGCTTTTACCATTAGATTCAATAGTATTCTAACCAACACTGATCTGCTTGTGTTAAGCTTCAAGAGCCATATCAATTTAAACCATATGTCACGCAATATATAACAAATTCACTTGCTCTGTTGTCATTGATGGAAATGTTGCGCTTAACCTAAGAACATATATCAGCAGGCTAGTCTCATTTAAAACTATAGTGGCTCAATCATGTGGCTTCAATTTTAAACAGCAATAATTTATTATTATAATAACACAAAATCAGTTCTCATGTTGCCACATATTAAAGCATTAAGATTTCATAAAGTACAAATAAAATTGATTAAGATTTTTCCAACCTAAATAAAGCAGATCAACTTGCAAAGATACCTCTAGCAAATTAACATGCAACCAAGTCCCATATGGAAAGAAACAAATGACAGCAATAAATCTAACATCCAAAAGAAAACTTCAAATAAACAAGTTGGCCACAAAGAGAATCAACATTTTCCTAAATAAATTTTTTTTGCTAAGAATACGAGAAAATTAACCATTGCATACAGGAATTGGCAGTTTTATGTACTTCAGGAATTCCTTTAATAAAATCATAATTGCTTTGTACTGCCATGGATATTTTTTCTTAAGAAAATGAATGTAAAGGAAGTGCGCCTACCCTAATAGATGCTGCAGTGAAGTGGCCAAGATCAGCAAACATAGCTTCACTACCTGTAATTGCGATGAACAGTCTGTTATAACAGTTGGTTCAAAAAAAGTAAAGTTTCTTTTGTGTTGAAAGAAAGGAGGATACACTTCAATGTTCACCTGTAATACAAAGTAATATTCCTCCAAGAGAAAGCCAGCCATCCTTTCCGGTTACCTTAAAGAACTTGATGATGTAGCTTGGTGAAAGAGCTAAGTATATTCTGGGATTCCAGTGGATGATGTTGTATAGACCAATGAGGCCAATACACAAAAGCCAAATAATAACGATTGGTGCAAACAAGAAGGCTACCCTATGAGTACCACGGTGTTGCAAAGCAAAGAGACCAACAAGAACAATGCAAGATATAATTACCACCACAGCTGTTTTACCGTTGGAAAAAATTTTAGATGTTAGCAGTAAAGAAGATCATGGCAAGTTTTAAATTTTATAACACTAAGGGAAAAATATAGGTACCTAACAATAGTTTTCATGTAAACCAAGTAAATGACATTGTAAAGGATACAAATCATTCCACATATAATATTACAATAATCTATGTCATAAACAACTCAGCAAAGCACAGTGAAATAGCATAAAAAAGCCACATACATAACTGCTCAATGAAGAGCTCATCAATTGGTATATTTCTTTTTGAACACATGTTAGCGCCATGATTCAACAAGAGTAGGAAGGCGGTCTTATTAAGGAGCATGAAAGAGCCAATGGATGATGGAAAGTCTAGCATCGCCAGTCTAAGCACAAGCAAAAGCAAACCCAAGTTCACTATAAGATGGAACTGTGACACTTTTACACAAAGAACCGTAGCCAATGTGGTGGCCTAGCTCTCTTTGATGCTAAAGCCAAGGGGAGATCGGAGAGAGCCCCCCTTGAAGATGGAGATCTCCAAAAATAATTTTTTAGGGAAAAGCCCAAGAGAAGCGTGGATTTCTGATCATAATCATATTAGCAGACAACAGTCTTCCGGCAGATTTCAAAGGAATTATGCTCATAGAAACCAGAAACCAAATATAGATAAATGCAAGGTGGCGGACAGCAGGCAGCTACTTCAAATCAGAAATCATTTCTGGAATATTTCATGGAGGACAGTCATCTTTGCCGAATAATGGTCCATGCAATCATGGAATCCCAGCTGCCGTCCCAGCTAGAATCTGGGAGAACCGAGAAAACAAGCCTCAGCAAGAATCTGGGAGAATCGAGACAGCAAGCCAACTACTCCAATAAAGGAATCAAGGAAAAAAAATATAACATGCTGATTCAGCAGTTTCTCATTTCCATTTGTGGGAAAATAAAATTGTGTGGTTATTTCCCATTATTTTGTTTGTACATTCTTCCTTTTTTTCCCTTCCTGAGTCGTTTGCACCTTGAAGGAGTTTGCATTCTATATATAAACTATAATTTGTTCTCTTTTTTGGATAAGAATTAAGAGTATTTCTATTCTATGCTATTCAGTATGTGAAAAGAGTTCAAAGAGTAAAAGGGATTTTTCAGTCCTCATGAGAAGAGAGTATAGAAACTTGTACAAAAAGTCCTCTGGGATAAGCATGTAAAGGATGAATTCAAATTGGATTAGCTTCGGCATATATATCCAAATCAAATTCTATTTGGATCAAATAAGGATTTAGGTTGGGTTCAAGTTGTCCTATTTTTATCCACTATTCATGAAGCATCAGAGTGAAGGGATTTCAAGTCTATCTGAAATCCCCTCCACACTTAAGATTAGCTGTGTTGGGCACGCAAAAACAAATTTAAAGTGGGATTTATTCTATGGTTTAGATCATCAATATACATCATTCAATATACCAATAATCCATATTAAAAGTATAAGCATTATATAATCCATATAAAAAGTTTACATAATATATTTAGGTAAGTAATCAAGTTAATGAGATAGATTAGGCTAACTCAATATCCTACCTAGCAACATTAGATTGGTAAGGCTTCTTGATTGGTTTATGATCAAATAAAAGTTTTGGTTTTGATAAAGCATCGATAAGATAGAAACTTGGGTCACTTCAAAGTAAACCGAACCACTTATAGGCCCACACTAGGGTCTAAGAGGGTTGGCTTAAAACATTAGGTAAGCAATGCAACGTACTTGATGTTCATCCAATTTCCAAGTTGGGATAAGTGATGCAAAACTGTAAATCAACTAGGGTTCCTAGTGCAAATAGGATAAATATACTAAAGTAGACGATAGAATGGAAAGTAAGATTAAAATATTGGTATGATTGGAGAGGATGGCTGGGCGGAACTAAGAGCAGAAAACAGTAGGGAAAGATTTCTAATTTAAATTGAAATAAGAGAAGGAATATTATTTAGGGATGTTTCCTAACATATGTTTAATTGTTTATGAAGGTTTTCTAAATCATGTTTAATTATTTAGGAATAATTCCTAAATCATATTTAATAGTTTAAGAAGATTTCATAAATCATGTTTAATTGTTTAGGAAAGTTTCCTAAATTATGTTTAATTGTTTAGGAATGTTCTATTTATGATTTTGTGTTCTAGGGCTATTTAAGTGGGAGTTTTTTAGGGTTTAGAGTATGTTATAGATGAGTTTTGTGTTTGGCTATCGTTTTTTTAGGGCTTCCTAGCAGCGTCTAGGTCATTTGAGAGAACTGATCTACCTCTCTAATTGTAGATCACATGTATCTTGTCTTTTCCTTTATATATAATCCACTAAAAAGTGATCTTGAGTGTTCTTCTTCATCGTTTACTTGTTGCAAATTTCTGTTTTGTTAAAATTGAATATTCAGCCAATGTTTTCTTCAAGTTCTACATCTACTTCGTATCAAATTGATATCAGAGCGTGGTTTTAGAGATGAAAGCAAATAAATTGGATGCATTGAAAGGCAAAGTAGAGCAAATCAAATCCTAAATGGAGGAAAAGTTCCCAACCATCGAAGGAAGGTTTTCAACCATGGAAGGAAGGGTTACATCCATAGAGAACCGATTGGGAGTGATGGAGGAAAAGATGAGGAAGCTCATTGAGATGCAATCCAAAACTATATCGGCGGTTCCAAAACTACAGAAAAGTTGAAAATTTGCGGCAAAAATTTTCATCTCTGAAATGGTGACGAATTTGGGATGAAAATTTTTTTTTGAATCATTTGTGATGGATTTGTTGCGAATTTGAGGCTGAAAATCCGCCACGAATTTGCGACGAAATTCTCCCCGCAAATCCGTCACAAATTCATCGCAAATCCGACTCAAATAACCCTATCTAAATCGGTTGACTGGCAATTTCTTTCATTCGCACGTTTTAGACCTCCTTCGACCATTGCCTCCTTCGACAGCGCTCCTTCTGTGCTCATTTTGGACCCCCTTCAACCCCCGCCTCCTTCGACGACGTTCCTTCATGTAGCATCCGAAATCACACTGCCTCGTCGTTTAGTCGATGATGCTGCCTCTTCGTTCAGTCACACTTCCTCGTCGTTTAGAGCCGTCTTCCCTCTCCTCTCACCACGACTCTCTTGCCACCATTGACGACGTACCTTTTTCTCGCCTCATTCGATGATGTTCCTTGCTTGCTGAGAATGTATCCATCTTTATTCCTTATCATGAGTCTATTCTTCATAGTGATGATGTCATAGATGAAGATATTATTAATATAATTGATGTTGTATGCATGATTGTAGTGGAGGAATGCATCAGGTTTATTGTGTGATAGAAAAATTCCCCTCAACCATAATATTAAGTGTTGCATAGATGAGGATCCTTAGGTGGATGTGTGGCTTTACTATAGAGAATGCAAAATGAGTATATATGTGTAAAGGTTGGAGTAGCTCAACTGGCAAATAAGATTAGAGATAGTCGCCTTAGAAGGTTTGGTCACATAAAATGTCGACCTTATAATGACCCGATTAAGATAGAAGATGGATTAGAATTGGCCTATATTAAAAAAGGCAGTGGTATACCTAAAAAGACTTGGTTAGAAAGTATTAGAGTTCATGAACTTTAATTTATTAGATTTAAATAAGAATTTGACTCTTAACATAATACAATGAAGAAAAGAATTCGTGTAGCCAGTGAGGGCTTAAATTGAAATGGAGGAATGCATCGGGCTTATTGTGTGATAGATAAGTTTCCCTCAAACTTAAAGGAAAATTCTAAATAATGGTGGTGAGACTATCAATGCTTTATTATGGTGTAAAATGTTGGTCATTAAAAGAGAAGCATAATATTAAGCTAAGCGTTGCAAAGATGAGGATGATTAGGTGGATGAGTGGCTTTACTCTTACAGATAGGATATGAAATGAGAATGTACATGAAAATGTTGGAGTAGCTCCAGTGGAAGATAAGATTAGGGAGAGTCACCTTAGATGGTTTGATCACATAAAATGACAACCTTTCGATGACTTGGTTGAAAAACTAGATGTATTTAGTGTGTTGCATTAATTCACACATGCTCTTCTATTGCCCAATATACAATGTGTGTGATGGAGGCGCACAACTATCCATGCAAACTCCTAAAATCATCACTATTACACATAATTTTTTTTTAATTGATACAAATCTCATCTTTGGTTGTAGGAATTTATGGTTCAAGTGTGTTATGGATATTCGAAAGTATAGAAATTGGATGTATAACTGAATGTTGCTTGGACTCAAGACATTAATAGATGAATTTTTTAATGGAGTGAATTATTTCATTCAGGCAGGCTGTAAAGAACCAAGCAGGTCATTTGGGTACTTAAATAAATTTAAGGTAAGTTTTAAATTCATAATCATACATCATTCAGGTACTTAAATAAACTTAAGAAGACTACAAAGAATAAAACACGTCCCGAATGATCAATATGTGAAACACACTTGATATATGAAACTACTCAATTTTGCTCATACTACTTTGACATAGAGTTACAATCAACAAGGAATATTGTACCTCAAAATTTGGATAATACAGATGTATGTTGATCTACCAGTAACAGATCAGTATTCAACGAATGTGGCAAGGAAGTAAGCGCTTGTATTGTGTGTTATTTGATAGATAAGGAAATGAGAGTTGCCTTGTTGTACACACTGCTTAATTGTGCTGAAGTTGAGCTATATCTTGAGTAAGTTTAAGATAAGATTATGTAAATTTTATAGACTCGTGCATAGCAACTCTAACTTCAAAACTTTTGCAGAAAGTTCGTTAATGGTCTGACTATAACATCACTATTAGATCAGGAAAAGAGAGTGGAATCTGAATTTTCAAATTGGTGCAAAGAAACAATATATATTTCAACAAGTCACTTCAACCTTATATATAAGTTAATTAACTTAGTGAAAATGATAATAACATAACTATAATTTCTACACCAATTAGGTCCACAACGAAGCCAAAGATTTGGAAGGGCAAAGACTAATGAATCTAGCTTGGGGGCATATGAGAGCAATAAAATGGTAACCAATTTTTATTGTCAACGATTATAGATTTCAAAACCAAAGTTTGGTGTGAAGGTCGAAAAACATAAAGTTGTGGTGTATGTGTGAAAGGGAACAATCATATAGGTGATGATTGTGAGTATTATGGGATCTTACAGGAAGTACTACAGTTGGAATATCCTGGTGAAAGGAACAACTTATATCGTTTTAATTGTGATTAATTTAATCCATTGCAAAATAGAGGGACAATAGTGCATCCACTTTATGGTATTACAGAAGTAAAGCGGGGTAGAAGATATGAAAAATACGACCCATTTGTCTTTGCTAGCCAGGCTACCCAAATATTCATTGCTAAGTATCTAGGTAGACTACGGCGTGAGCCAGATTGTCTTGTAATCATCAATACTAAACCTAAGGGGGTTATTAAGAATATTGCATCAATACCAGTAGCACATTAAGAGGAGTGTATGTCAAATTTTAAAGAGCCTGCTAATTATGTAGATGATCATATTGTAGCTAATAAAATTGAGTTGCAGTTAGAGAAGGTAGACTTAAAAAATTGAGAAGAACATGGAAGATGTTAGTAGTGAGGATTTGATCTCATCAGATGAAAGCGAATCAACTAGTGATTAATAATTATGAGATAAATGTGAATTGCCCAATAATTTTTTTTACATGTTAGCATACATACAGTAATTCTTTTTTTTACATGTTAGTATACACAGTAGATTTTTTTTACATGTTAGCTTACAACAGTAGTTCCTTTTCCTGCATTTAATTTACTTATTTCCTGCATTTTTATAAATATACACAGATCATACCTAATTGTTTCTTTTATTTTTTGCAGATATCTTTTGGAGGTGATGAGTCCCATAGGCAATCGATCTCAAATATTTTCAGGTGCAAGAAGAATACCAATGAAGGATCCAGTCGGGGGGTAGAAAAACTGAGGGGACCTCCTCTTCACAGCCTACCACTCATACCCAACCTAACCCCCCTGTACCTACACCTCTTGCAGGGAGTTCTCCGTTTTACTCCGCAGACCTCGCTTTCCGTCACCAGACCCTACGCAGATGGCACCTTTTTACTTGTACTACCCTCCACCATCTTCTCAGGGATTCCCTGCTACTTATCCCTATCCACCATACGTTCATTCATTTTACTACCCACCACCACCTCAGCCCTATGCAACTGGACCTTCCACCCTGAAAGCAGTTGGACCTTCCACGCAAGCTGCCACAGCACCAACTTTAGAAGGACGCATGCATATTCAGCTTGAGGGTGACACGTACATAAATGTGTATGTTTTATATTACACATATATTTGAGAAATAAAATTCTTCAACTAAATATTTTGTGTATGTTTTATCCATCAAAGCAACCCACTCACATGATACGAGATATCATAAGGAGCAGGTTTGATGTTCCATATGTCTCTTAGAAGAAAATCCCGAAGGAAGTGTGCCACATGTGGTTCAGGAAATTTGAGATTAGTAAATTGCAATATTATTAAAATATCTTCGTATTTTATTAAGCTATTAAAAAATATGTTTTTCTAATTATTGTATACAGCACTATTTCTATTGGTTGCCTGAGCATGGTACTCGAATCATAACAAATTTTGAGAAACACGAAGCAACTCGCTTGTGAAACATGTTCACTCGTATTAGGAGGGCTGACAAGATACCGCTTGAGATTGGAGAGGATGTATGGGCGGGCAGAGCTCAATAGTGCTTGGGGCATCCCAAATTTTACAATGAATAGGGAGCAGAACAAACAAAATCAAGCTTCTAACGTCAGGAGCCTGGAAATCTCCCTCCATGCTGGGGGCTCAGTTCCACACACTGAGTATAGAAGATGATTGGTAAAAATTTGAATAGATTTTAATAATTTATTTGTGTATGCATGCTAATCTAAGTATATTGCACAAGGAGATGCTTTGTAGATAACCCATTGCAGTTGAGTTACACAGTCACACTGATAAGCGCCAGGAGGGCTAGTAATGGGTGGGCTAGCCGTGGGTGTATAAGCGAGCAAGGAGACCATATGTAAGTATATAAGGACTTCATACTTACAGAAATATTGTAAGTAACGATTATATGATGATTAATCTTATGTTATGTTTTGTAGGATAAGTATACACACCTTCGAGAGAGAGCTAGGCTGCAGTTGGAGAGGGATCCTCTTGGAATAATATGAAATTTTGGGTATCAAAAGATTCAAAATAACATTTTAAATCATCAATGCATATATATATATATATATATATATGGAGAATTCCCACATATCTGTATAAAAATCTCATTATGATCATGATAATTAACTTGATGCCAACTATTTGTGGCGGCATTATAAAACAATTTTACTACACGTTTCTGATGAGCATTGCATGAAGAATTGCACCAAAAAGAATCTAACCTGAAAATAACTCGTATAAAAAAGATTATCAAAATAACTTCAAAGCTCGTGAAATAATCATGACAAGCCAATTGCTAATACACTTACTGTCTAATGATCACAAGATAAGGTTAATGTGTGTGAAAATGTCTTAGTGTCATCTCAAGAACAATGCAATCCTTCCAGCTTACAATGTCAATTAGTTGATGGTTGCTAAATTACGAACTGTTTATCCTTTATGAAAATGTCTTAAATCTAGAAAAAGTAATAAATAATTCTAATTCCGCATTAATCCTCAACTTTCAAACACTCATATATTATGATAATTTCAGTTGAATGCTTTGGATAGGAAAAGAAAATTACTAACTAAATGATATGACCAATTAGATGGTACTAAGACAAATGGAACCTGGAGTAGGGAAAATAATTTCAGAGGGGCATTGGATTGCTCATAAAACAAGTTGCAGATATGATCTATGAAAGTCAAAAGTACACAGCATACTATGAAAGAAGAAAACAGAGTGACTAACCATTACTTAAACCCTCGGCACGAACTTGCAATCCAGATACTGATGATAGAACTGCAGGTGATCAAGAATTAATTTAGTAGTAAAGCAAATGATAGTTGGCAGACTGGCAGTTCAAGTTTATTAAAATGTATGAAAAGAAGAACATGAAATAAATATATAGAATACTGCAGCAAGCTCTTCCAAGCTATGGAAAACGATTAATCAGATTTTTACCAGAAATTGCCGGTGTGAGAACACCATCACCTATAACCATACAAGCGCCAAATAAAACTACAAGTAGTAAAGCAGTCCGTGTCTTCTTATGTTTCTCAAGAAATCTTTTCAATGGAGATAATGCGATACTCCGAGATGCATAACCAGGCCTGTAATATGTAGATAACTCCTCATCAGCCGCCTGCTGATTCGGTAACAGACTGAACTTTGCATGCCTGCAAAGGACAGAGTACAGAGCAAATGTTCCCCCTGTAAAAAACCCTCAATAATAAGAGTAAAATAAAGATATAAACAATGAATCGATGACCACCCTTTAGAAGAATGAAAAGGCACCTTAAAACTCACCTTCACCATTATCATCCGCACTCAACACAATGAATACATATTTTAGCAAAGGAATCATAGTGAAAGTCCAGAATATCAAGGAAAATGCACCAAATATTGTCTCTTCGTCTTGAAAATCATGAAGCCTCCCATAAAAAGTACTTTTATAGACATACAGAGGACAAGTAGCTAAATCACCATATACTACACCAAAACTTTGATATGCTAAAAGAAGCAGGTGCTTATAGTAATTCTTCCAGTGAAGCTGCATAAAAAGGCAATGGACGGAAATTATTCATGTAGAAAAAACTCAAGCAATAGTTTCACTGCATTAAAAGGCAATGGATAGAAATTATTCATGTAGACAGAAAAAATTACGCAATAGATGCATATGATGACCAGACTAAAAGTATAGTTTTTTGTTTTTTTGGCAAGGGGTTGAAACTTGATCCTCCTCCACGTTAGAGATTAAAGGCAATACCACTCATTCAAATTATACATGTATGAACAATAATAGTGAATCATCTTACCATATCTAGCACAAGAGAGCAATCCAAAGCAAGGCAAGGGAGAATAAAATGCTGCAATAATAATTATAGGGATATAGACAACGTTTCAAAAACCGGACCGGACCGGCCGGTTCAGGCCGGGTACCGCCGGTTCGTTTTAACACTAAAACCGGCAAAGCAAGCAACCAGATTTGAACCAGTCGGACCACCGGTCGGACCGTGAAACCGGCAAACCGTGAACCGGACTCGAACTGCCCAGTTAAACAGATGCTTCTCTCAGCCGTTTGATTCCAATCGTGCGGTACTTGAGAAATAAGTAAATAAGTATGTGAAGGAAAACCTAGTTGACTTCAATCGTGCATTCGTGCGGTAACTCCCGAAGCTACGCCTCTCCTCCGCTCCTACTCCTTCGTCGCTGCAGCTCTTCCGTCGGTGCTCGGATCATTCACGAACTAGCCGAAGAAAGCAAGGACAAGAAGAAAGTAAACAGGCAAGAAAGATTTCTTTGAAGAGAAGATTAAAGTGTTTCTACGAAAGGAATCATCGTAAGGTTAGGAGATTTCGGCTTCAATAATAGTTCATCTCGTTAGTGTTCTAGAGATGTCAGCTCTCTAACAGGAAAAAATTGTCCTCTCCTTCCTCTTTTACATGTTGCAGTTGCAGCCTCTCGTGGACTTAGCAGTGGCCTCAGTTTCTCAAATACAACACGATTTGTTAAGGCAGTAATCTTAGGTCAGTATTTTTTTTAATTTCTTTTCTTCGATCTTTGTCATAAAATTTATCTTCTCTTTTTCTTTGAATAATTTATGGTGTTAATCGAATATGTAGAATTGGTTCCTTTAAATTGAATGTTATGTTGCTGCTTGCTAGTTTTGAGTTATTGATTGATGTTTCTTTTTCTTCTGTGAATTCCCTTCTACATTTGTTTTGGTTAATAATATTATTATTTATTACGTCATCCAGTTCGACCCCGGTTCGATCAAACCGTGAACCTCTCCTTCTTCCAGTCTGTTGTCCGGTCCGGTTTTCAAAACCTTGGATATAGGTGTTATATAATCATTTTAAGAAGATCGATAAATTTGTATTCTCTAATTTATTACATGGGACTACTTTTTATAATAATACAAATCATCTAAAAAGAAAGATAAATTGATAAATTATATGATTTGACAATATGTCAAATTAAGAAGCTTGAATGCTTAAAATTAAACTTAATGAACAATTAGTTTAAAACTTTACGAAGTATTCGAACACTTAGTGATTAGTTCGAACATATAGCATATTAAATTAAATCAATAATTAAAGTTACATCTTATTTTGATGTCAAAATTAGAATTGATTTGAACATTTGAATAATTGTGAAAGAGAGTTCTTCAACAAGTTGATTTCTTAAATTAATTAAAGAGAAATACAATTATTAAAAAGTACAATACATGTAGATTATGTTAGATACTAAAAGAAATATAAATGAGTCACATATAAAGGAAGCTTTTTTGGAGTTTGGTTCATTAATTTATTTTCACTGTTTATAGTTAGTTTGTGTTTAACACTGCCGTTGCCAGGTCCCAAGTCCTTGATGAGAAAAGTGGAGGGTTGCTTCAGGTAGTCGACAACCAGCGTAAAACTTGTCGAATAGATTATGTTAGATACTAAAAGAAATATAAATGAGTCACATATAAAGGAAGCTTTTTTGGAGTTTGGTTCATTAATTTATTTTCACTGTTTATAGTTAGTTTGTGTTTAACACTGCCGTTGCCAGGTCCCAAGTCCTTGATGAGAAAAGTGGAGGGTTGCTTCAGGTAGTCGACAACCAGCGTAAAACTTGTCGAAAAATAATGACATGAATCCTTTAAGAAATTGTATTAATGCTAGGGCGTCCCCTGGAAGCGACGCGCTGTATGGCCTGAATACAGTGACAAGTGTGCAAGGG